CTCCTCATGGGGCTTTTGGCTACTCTAACATTCTCCCCCCCTTAGAGGTAACCCTAAAATCTTAAGGATTAGATAAAATACTTTCGACAGTTTTGGCCTTTGGAAAAGCAGTACGTTGCTAAGTGGCCCAAGGACATTGTGAGTTTTAGCCAAGAAACTGTCTACTTTTCTTTGGGGTCTTTTCACCCTAACTGCCTAGCCAATTCCTACCTCCTATTCTTATCACACCATCCTCTGAAGAGGTTATCCAACTTGCTGATAGGGAATCGGTGATGGAGACCGCTCTGGCTTCTTCCATGCAGCATCAACTTTTAAATGCATTATCCCTAAAAGACAAAAGCAGAAGTCACTCGCAAACGTTCATCGGAACTCTAAACTTGGGCAACGTTCGGCGGTGCGGTGCTCCATACGATAAGGCTGGGGTCGGCGGGACTCGAAAGCAGCCCAGACGGGACGTTCCCGGTCTGGCTCTGTGTCCCAGGAAGCTCACTGAAGCTGCCACCCGGCAGCAGGACGAGTTCGAGGACCCCTGCCAGGCTGAGTCACCTCCGGGCTCGCTGCCCAACGGCGCCGGGGCGGGGGGGGGGCGGAGAAGAGGTGGGCGGAAGGCGTCTGGTGAGGATTCCCGCGCTCTGGAGCCAGGCAGGGCTGTGGTGGTCAACCTCCAGGCCACGCCCAGCACGCGCACGCCCCGCCCCCTCCCGCCACGCCCTCTGGTCACGCCCCCTCCCCAGCCGCCTCCTGCCCCTCTGCGCGCCACGGTTCAGTCGCCTGCAGTTCTCCGAGGAAACTGGAGAGACCGCAGGGCTGAGCCACGCCGCCTGGGGACAATGGGGCTGCGGCGCCTGCTGCTCCTGGCCGCCGGCCTTAGCCTCTGCGACCCCCTGCTGTCCGCCCGCGTTCGGGAGCTCCCGCCAGGTGAGAGCTGCCCGCCGGTGAGCCTGGGGGGGGGGCGCTACCTGGGAACCGACTGCGCCGGCTGCACCCCTGCCTCGGTTTCCCCCAGGAGCCAAACAAGCATTTGGACTGAGATCTAGAGTCTCCCCTACTCACATCCGGGTGCGGCGTGCCACCCCAACCACCCCCTTTACCGCTCGACTGGTGGCCCTCTGCCCTCGGTTTTGGAGGGTGCAGCCCGCCGGCCATAGGGTGTTGAGTAGCGAGGAGGAGCCGAGGCGCCCCCCTCCCCAGCCCCCTTCCCCCCAGGCCTCCGCATCGCGTTTGTTGTCACTGTGTGGCCTGTTTTGCGAGACTGCTTTCAGAGAGAAAGGGTCTCCCGTCTCTGTGCTTTGGGTGGGAAAGTAAAGAACCATCCCCGCTTAAGTTTTGCCCTGTTGGAAATTTTTTTTTTTCTCGCACGTTTTACAAGGAAGGAAAGTGATGTAAAGGAAAAACCCGTAACACATTTAGCGGACGGTAAAGACTGGCGGTCTCCCGAAGGCTAGCGGGTGGGTTGTGAGTTGGTCTTTGTTATCGGAAACCTGTTCCTCTGGGTAGAGAAAAGGAACCCTTGCTCCGACCCAGGCTCTCTCAGCCACTACTGCGTCTCGTTTGTGTTTTTTAAATGGAATTTCTCACCTGCTGCAAGGAGATTACCTCTCTCCAGTACATTCCCTATAAGCTGTGTATTTTTAAGTGTGTGGCTGCTTGGCCAAGTAAATAAATTTGGTCAACATATTTCATCAGATATTTTCTATTCTCCTTCCTCCAAATTCGGAGGTGCCTATAAAGTTCCAAATTATAAAGTGAGGAAAATGTTTTTGAATTTCTTCAGAGCGGTTGTATTTTAGAAACTTTAAGCCGTTTCTTTCCAGCTGAAGAAAATCTAGTGGGTTTTGTTAGTGTTTTGTTATCTGTGAAAGAATGTGCACTCTATTGCTCCCACACATCAGGATTAAGAGGTGACAAAGAAGACGTGTTTCCTGCTCTCTGTCTTTGCTCAGTATGAATTTTGAGGGTTGCTCTTGAGAAAAACAGCCCCAGCCAGGGGCCCCAGGTTTAGCCAAAACTACCCAGCCAGCGCGTGGCTAGTGACCAACCCTTATCACCAGCTCACCGAGCCAAAACTACCCAGCCAGCGCGTGGCTAGTGACCAACCCTTATCACCAGCGGTGAGGGAATGTGGAGAACTGAAAGGTGAAGGCTGAGATTCAGTTTCACATATGTGACTTGCTTGGTGTTTTCGGGGGACAAGCCTTGAGAATACAGACTCTAAGATTTGGATACTAAAATGCCACACCTGCCTCAGGAACCCAGCTCATTCCCTAGGAGGGCTTGGCACCCTTAGGGAGTGAAGTTACCGACTTCTGTTTACTTCCTCATGGGAGAGATAGGGCATGCTAAGATGCACAGCCCTGGTGAAAACAGAAAGACCACTGAACAGAAAGAAGTTGGCTAATGTGTCCGCACTGGATTCTGGAAGCACTTGAGGGGGAAAGAAGAAAGGAGGGTGGAAGAAGAAAAAGACCTTCGGCCAGATGAAGCATTTTATCCAGTCTTGGGCTTGGAGGAATTCGCACCCATTGTCTTCCCAAACCACCTCAGTGATAAGATGGGGATCTGTCCATTTCTGGGAATTCTAAAACTGAGGCCTAGAGAACGTGGCCTGAGTTAAGGAGGAGGGTTATTGGAATGATCTGCCCACTGTGGGTCTACACAGTAAGCGAGACACTGATACTTAGTTTTAATTCACAAATCAAAGCAACCCCAAATAAGTCTGCTTCTTACTGCCATTGCACACCAGCAGCTATAAACTGTATCTGTCCCAAAGTACGGGTGCTAGGGTGTCTCCTACCATTCAGCAATGCTCCTCCAACCCTTGATCGTCCCCTGCTGCTGGGTGGGCTTACTGCCCAGGAGCCTCAACTCTCTGTGCTATTTGGGGTTATGAAAAAACCCCAGTGTGGCCCTGCGCACCAGTCTGAGCTTTTCTGCGCCATTCCCACTCATCCTGGCATTTCCTCTCTTGTCCCTTTCAGAGTATCTGTCTCATCTCCCCAGCCAAGGTCATGAACTTCTGTCCTCCATCCTCATGGAGTCTAGAACAAATGTTCATGCCACATAATTTGTTAAGTGACTTGTAGGTTCATTAAGCAGTTTTTCTTGGGTCAGGCAATTTAGATGAGATGACTTGTGTTCATTAAAGAAGGGCAGTGTCTAAGAGTAAAATGTGATGTTCATGAATTTTATAAGGATTAGAGTTAGAAAGTTAGAAAATAGCTGATGATAACTGTTGATTCCAGAGGCCACCTCAGAAATTGAAACCAGATTCTTCAGCAAGGAGTGAGGGGTCCCTGTGTAGGGATTCCTGGCCTCTCTATTGCACCCCCTTTATACAGTCTCCACTTCTCTCAGCCTCTGCATCCTCCCATAGGGAGGTCTGCTTTCTCTGGCTTTTCTCCCCATGTCACTCCCTGGTGTTTCCCATACCTCACATATCCCATTTAATTAGAAACTGCTATTCATTGTGGAGTACCTGTCCTAGCTGCCACCTGGCTGGGTCTGTTACATGAACTACTTTACTTATTGCTTACAGTGACCCTTTCGGTAGATGTCATCTCATTTTATAGGTGAGGACTTTAGATACAAGTGTAGTGAAAGATGGTACTGGGACTTGACCACAGGCTGGTCTCCTGAATGTGAGCTTCCTCCACTACTCCTGCAGAAGAAAGGCCATATGGACTCCAGCCCCTCTGATGGTAGCTAAGTAACCTACTGTGGTCCTCAGAACCCCCAAAGGGCAAGGTCTGAGCCCATTGCCTTGGTACCATGAGAAGTAGCATTGGGTGACAATGTGTGCATGGACTGTGGTAGCATGCCTTTGACTTTTGCTAACACATGATAAGGCTGGCTAGAAATTGATCTTTGCTCATGAATATGCTAACGGCTTTTTTTAAATATTTATTATTTTTATTTTATGTGTATGAGTGTATTGCGTGCATGTATGTGAGTGGACCCATATCATGCAATGCTATGGAGACCAGAAGAGGCCTTTGGATTCCCCTGGAACTGGAGTTAAGGATGGTTCGTAGCTGCCCACCATGTGGGTGCTAGGAATTGAACCCGAGTCCTCTGCAAGAGCAGTCAGTGCTCTTAACCTCTGAGCCATCTCTCCAGCCCCCAACTCATTGGCTCTTAACAAAAGATGATCTTACGCCTAAATCTAGTAAGGCAGCTGCCAAAACTGACCTGACTTGAGTTCCATCCTGAAAGGAAAGAACTGACTCCCACAAGTTGTTCTCTTACCTCCCCGTGACTGTGGTGGTACACAGACACAGACACGCACGCACGCACGCATGCACGCACATAAAATGTGATAAAAAAATAATCAACAACAAAAAGAAAACTCCAAACTGGACAGTAATTCTGTCCCAAGCCAACCAGAAAGTTCTATTAAACCTAAAAGCCAAATTTCTCAGGAACTGGCAATTTTCTCCCCCAATATTTTATTTACTTATTCATTTCTTTTACTTTCTCTCTTCCATGTTCCTTAGTGGTATTGCCTCTGTTTTTTTTTTGTTGGTTGTTTGAGACAGAAACAACCTCAGGTTGGCCTGCAGCTCACTATGTAGCCCAGTCTGGCCTCAAATTCCTAGCGATTCTCCTGCCTCAGTCTTTATTGTCATATGAATCAAAGAGTAGGTTCTCTTGTAATTTTCTCCCCACTCCTCCTTGGTGTGAGAGTCCCCTTTGTTTCCCCAGCCCTCTTCTCAGAGCAGCCCTCCTGTCCCTGCAGGCTGCTGTGCGGGGTCCCTTCTCTCATCCAGCGTGTTTGAGCCTTTCCTGTCTCACAGACCAGTGTGCTCTGCACATGGACTTGCTCTTTTGCAGCAGCCCAGAGTGTGCTCTTTTCCGGAGCACTCCCAGCCAGTCTCCTTCCCTGTGTTCCCTGTGTGCTTTCTCCCCTTTCCTTCCTCCTGCTCATTTATTCTTTGTCTGTCACCCTCACAAACTGGAGCTCAGCTGGGCCTTGAGCCCAAGGACCCTGAGACAATAGGGTTCCCAAAACCCCAGGTTTCCAAGCCTGCTGCTCTCATTTGAGGCCCCTGTCCCTCTTCTCTAGGAACTCCTACCTGCCTCTCCACCAGCCTTTCTGTCTCTTTATCACCCTCTCTCCCTTTTATTATTTTTTTAATTGACATGAAATTCTCAGAACTGAAAATCATCCATTTTTTAAATATTTTATATATTTTGTTATGGTAATGGTATGAGTGTATTGCTTGCATATATGTAAGTGCACCCCTGTCATGCAATGGCCATGGATGTTAGAAGAGGGGGTTGGATCCCCTGGACTGGAGTTACAGACTGCTGTTAGCTGCCATGTGGGTGCTGAGAACCAAGCCTGGATCCTCTATAAGAGCAGCCAGCACTCTTAACTGCTGAGCTATTTCTCTAGCCTTAAAATCATCCATTTTGAAGTCTAAATTCTGCAAGTTAGTGCATTTCTTCTGCCTAGCTCCAAAAAACTGCCACCACTCCCAGAAGTAACCCAGTGGCAACTGAGCAGTCCCCAGTCTCCCTTTCCTCCCGCCCTGAAGAAACACTAGTTTGCTTTTGGTCTCTCTGGATTCACCTGTTCTCAGGATTTCATGGACCACATGTGGCCCTGAGTGTCTAAAGACATCTCTGTTCTCTAGGATTCCTGAGTCTCAGCATTCCCTTCCAGACACCACCAGAATGCCCTAGTTGTCAGGAGTGCTAGGAACCATGACCCCTGGTTATTTTTTTACTGTGTTTCTAGCGTCAGGGCTCTGTACTGTCTTCTTTCAGATTTACTGTTTGTTTCCTGGTTTGTGGCTTCTTTCATTCCACCTTTTTCTTCCTGGAACTGTAAGTGACACTCTCTCTTAAGTAAATGACAAACTCGAAGCTGGATGTTTTCTGGGGTTTGTTTTTTTGTTTTTTGTTTTTTTTTTTAA